CTACGCTTTGAGAGTATGGAAGGATTACTTAAATTACACTAAATGGATTACACTAAATGTACCATAAACAAAAATAACAAATTCGATTGTGCTAAAATTAAGAAGCTCTATTCATTCCAAGACATCATTAAGAGAGTGAAAAGGCAAGCCGCAGACTGGAAAATAGGTATTTGGAATACAGTCCCTTGTTCTCAGCAGGGGATTGGTTCCAGGACCCCCATCCGATGCTAAAACCCAAGGATGCTCAAGTCCATTGTATAAAATAGAATAGTATTTGCATGTAACATATGCACATCCTCCCATATATTTTAAATCATCCCTAGATTACTTACAATACCTAACACAGTGTAAATGCTATGTAAGTAGTTGTAAATGGTGTAAATGCTACGTAAATAGGTGCTGGTATGCAGGAAATTCCAGTTTTGTTTTTTGGAACTTTTTGTTGGAATATTTTAGAAAATATTTTTGGTCTGTGGTTAGTTGAATCTGCAGATGAGGAGCCGTGCATATGGAGGGCTGACTATACATATATTTGACAAGAAATCATAGGAAGGATGTAGAAAGAAGTTCTACCTATCAATAAGAAAATCCAATGGAAAAATGAGCAACAGATTAGACATTTCATAAAGAGAATATGCAGATGACCAAAACATGACAAAGCACTCAATTGCATTAATCAGCAAGAAAAGGAAAACTGAAACCACAGTGAAATACTAACATATACTCACTAGAATGGCTAAAATGTTTTCTATGTGAGTCTTTCTGTTTTGTAAATAAATTTATTCGTATTATTTTTTTAGATTTCATATGTAAGTGATGTATGATATTTGTCTTTCTCTGTCTGACTTCACTTAGAATGATAATCTCTAGGTCCATCCATGTTTCTGCAAATGGCATTTCATTCTTTTTTATGGCTGGGTAGTATTCTATTGTATGTATATACCACACCTTTATCCATTCATCTGTTGATGGACATTTAGGTTGCTACCATGTCTTGGCTATTGTAAATAATTCTGCTTTGAACATTGGGGTGTATGTACCTTTTTGAATTAGAGTTTTTGTCTTTTCTGGATATATGCCCAGAAGTGGAATTGCTGGATCATATGGTAACTCTATTTTTAGTTTTTTAAGGAACCTCCATACTGTTCTCTGTAGTGTTTGAACCAATTTACATTCCCACCAACAGTGTATAAGGGTTCCATTTTCTCCACACCCTCTCCAGCATTTATTATTCGTAGACTTTTTCATGATGGCCATTCTGACTGGTGTGAGGTGATACCTCATGGTAGTTTTGATTTGCATTTCTCTAATAATTAGTGATGTTGAGCATATTTTCATGTGCCTGTTGGCCATCTGTATAGAATGGCTAAAATGTGAAAGACAATTTCAAGCATTGGTGAGGATATGGAATACAAACTCATATTGCTGCTGGAGTAGAAATTGGTACGACTGCTTTGGAAAATTGTTTGATCTCGTCTTTTAAAGTTAATTGAATTAATACTCTGACCCAACAGTTTTACAACCCAACCAAAATGTATGTACTTATGCCCCAAAAGACGTGTAAGAATGGTCATTGAATCGTTATTTGCAGTAGCCCCAAACTGAAAAACCTAACTAGCTATTCACAGTAGAATGAAAATAGTTTATTCATACAAAGGAATGCTGTACAATGAAAGAAATTATTGCTACACACAACATGAATAAATCTTGCAAACATAACATTGACTGAAGTCAAGTAAATAATACTCTATGGCTCTATTTATGTCAAGATCAAAACCTGAAAAAGTTAATCTCATTTTGTTAGAAGTCAGGATAGTAGTTACCTGAAGGATGGGGAGGGAGTAGTGGCTGACAGGGTGCAGAAAAGAATTTCTGATAATTTTTATCTGGGTTTTGGTTACAAGGATGTGTTCATTTTGGGATAATTCACTGGACCTGTGTGCTAGCTTTGTACTATTTGTATACTTTCAATTGTATATTATATGTCAATTAAGAGGAAAAAAAAAGCCAGTGTGGCTGACAAGAGTGAAAGTGAGGAAAGTGGAGAATGGTAGACCATAAGATCAGGGAGATAGAAAGGGACCAGATCATGTAGGGCCTTATCAGCCAGGATGAGGAATTTTAGTAATATTTTAATGTGATGGGGAGTCACTGGAGAGTTTTGGGCAGGAGAATGACATGAACTGATTTACATTTAGTAAGTTTGCTTGGCTGTTGTGCAGAGGATGGATTGTGGCAAAAACAGAAGCAAGAGAGACTAACCCAGACAAGAGATGATAGTGACTTCACCTAGGGTTGCAACAGTGGCGATGAAGTGGCCCAATCCAAGATATATTTTGAAGTTAGTGCTATCAACACAGGTTCATAGGGCTTCCTTGGTGGCGCAGTGGTTGAGAGTCCGCCTGCCGATGCAGGAGACACGGGTTCGTGCCCCGGTCCGGGAGGATCCCACATGCTGCGGAGCAGCTAGGTCCATGAGCCATGGCCGCTGAGCCTGCGCGTTCGGAGCCTGTGCTCCACAAAAGGAGAGGCCACAACAGTGAGAGGCCCGCGTACCACAAAAAAAAGAAAAGAAAAGAAAAAAAAGACAGGTTCATAGATTAGATTGTAAGATCAGAAAGAAAGGATGATGCTGAAATTTTCGGCCTGAGCAGCTGGGTGAATGGTGGTGCTATTTGCTGAGATGGAAAAGACTGAGGGAACAGCATGTTCAAAGAGAAATCAAGAGGTTTACTTCTGATGCATGAACATTGAGATACATATTAGATGTTTAGGTGGAGATGTTAAGTAAACAGCTAGATATAAAATTCTAGAGAAATCAGGGGTGGGAAAATAATTTGTCGTTAATGTTACAGTGCTTAAAATCTTGGGGCTCTTGGAAGAGATCACCTGGGGAATGAATAGAAAGAACAGAGTACAGGTGAAGTGGAGTAGCAGGATGATATCTGATCATTGGGGCAGATAAACATTTTGATGTCAGGGAGAAGAGAAAGAACAACTAATGAGTTAGAAGGAAAACCAGGAGAGTGTAGTGTCTCAAAGCCAAGTCATGTGTTTCCTGAAGTAGAGAGTGAGCCAACTGTCAAATACTACAGAGATTTATAATTATGTGATAAATGAAATTTGACTACTGGGTTGGGTAGGATGCAGGGAGAGTATTTTAGGAAAGTTAGGAATTGGAATAAATTTTACATTTGGGGAATGAATCTGTATAACCAGTTAATATAATAAAACTTGAAGACTGAAGCCTTTTTAGTCTAGCAAAGGAGTAATCTGCTAAGATTAATGGCTAATAGTATGTAATGGTAAATTTTGGAAATTTCAAGGGGGATTTAATATAAGCAACCTATAATGGATTCTTTTATTAAAAGATACAAAAATTAGATATGAATCTGCCATGAGAGTGCTACACCCCTTTCAATGTGGATCAGTATTTATGCCCTTAGTATCTCCAAGTCAGGTGGCTTGAATTTTCCCGGTCTTCATTTCATCTTAATTGAAAGGCATTTTAAATTGGCTCCTAATGGTACTGGTGTCAATGACCTTTTATTTGGAAGGCTTTTCATTAATAACTTCTTACTAAAATTTTGAAGTCTTTGACTTTGTTCATTATTTTATCAGCCATGGCTGAAACAAAATAACTGAATCAATGAATATGGGATCTATAGCTTCTACATGAAAGAGTACAGGGCTTATAAATTTCTTTCTTTCTTGAATTTAGGGGGTAGGGAGGGCCCTCTGTAGAGAATTTGGGCTGTTAGTGGTTCTTTTGCAAAGGAATGAGGGTTCCAGAAGATAGAATGGGAATGACTGTCACGGAGAGCAGTGTTAGGAAAAAGCACACAGCAGTATTGGGATGAATTTATTAGAGGCCAAAGGCCTAAGACAGCTATTGTGTGATGCTGAATCATGACAGAATCTGGGTCTGGTTCTATCTGAAAATGTGGTGAAGAGACTTTTTTAATTGAAAAGAACAGGCACTCACCCAAACAGATCCAGAAAAGAGAAGGGAGCAGTTAGGAGACAAGGGCAGGGAACAAATGGGAATCCAAAGACAAAAACGCAACATAGCTTGTCTTCCTGAAAATTGAACTGCAAGTGTGGGCTTAAGGCAAGTTTGGGTAGTGCATTTGCCTGTTTTTCTCTCTCCAGCTATTTCTGTTTGCTTTGTTTTCTGTGTTGTACAGGCTACATGCCGCTAAACAATCTAATAGAAGTTCTGAATAATGTGAAAAACATAACATAGGAAATGTATGTCACAATGTGAGCACTGACAAACTTGGATACTTTGTAATCACATGTATACCTCTTATTTTATTCAAATATATCTGTTGATTCAGAGATGACTGTTAAGTTTGTCATTTTCAGTGACATTCAACAAGTCAGAAATAGACTTTCAGCCAAATCTTTTTATTTTGTAACTTGTGTTTAGTAATGGATTTTTAAGAGTTAAATAGTTACTAAGTGTTGTATCTGAGAAAAATGATGTTGCTAATTTTATTTGATGAACTATGTGAATAAATAAAATGTGTTAATATTCTATTTAAGGCTACTGAAATTTGCTAGAATAGCTTGGTTATGCTTTTTTGATGATTGGCTCCACTAAGAATACTCAGTGGTTCTGGGAAGAGTCAGTATTCTATAATGCTGCATCTAGTTTGAAATAAGAGGGAATTGGGGAAGAGGACATGAAGCATAACACAGGATACTAATCAAAAACATTTTAGCTAAAACAAATCTGTTCCAGATATCAGGGATACCCATGTACTTTTCACCCAGAAAGTTCTTCTGAAATTGTGTGGTTTAGGGTTTCCCTCCCGTCTATCTCCTGAAATTCCTTTAAAGAAATTCTTTATGAAGAATTATATATAATATATATTATGTATATCTTTGTATATGATATAATTTACTTGGTTTATAATGTTTGTGAATGTGAGGTTTTTTTGTTTTTTTTTTAACCCCCACAGTATTTTTAAAACAATTTTTTGCCTTTTCCCTAGGGAGTTGGTCTCTCAGTTCATGGGCAATTCCGAGTGGCTACTGAAAAGTCTCTTTTTGCAATGCCAGAAACAGCAATAGGTAAAAACAAACAAACAAACAAACACAAATTTTTCATAATTACTTTTACAATTATCATCTTTTGATACATTTTAGATTACAGTAATTGAAGGAATTGATGGAATCTTGTATGAAAGAACTTTTAAAAATAAATTATAATAAGAAGATACCTAAAAGTTTATATTAGCTCATACTTATATCTGAAAACACAAAGGCAAGCATATTTAAACTGGAGACACTAGCGCACTGTAGTCGATTTTATTTATTTATTCTTATTGAAGTATAGTTGATTTGTAATGTTGTGTTAATTTCTGCTGTACATATCTTTAACTTTAGATGAAAGATTATTAGAGGAAATATCTTGCATTCAGATCTATGCTCCATTTTGAGTTGACTTTTGTATGTGGTGAGAGGTATGGATCAAAGGGTATAGATCAAAGTTTATTATTTTGCATAGGGAGATAAAATCATTCCCACATCATTTTTTGGAAAAAGCTACTATTTCTCCACTGATTGCCTTTGCACCTTTGTATGTGCTGATCTTGGTGCCAACACCACACTGTCTTGATTACTGTTGCTTTATAGTAAGTCTTGATCAAGTAATGATAATCCTCTAATTTTGTTCTTTTTTTTTTCTTTCAAGTTGTTTTGGCTCTATTGATCCTTTGTATTTCTGTGTGAATTTTAGAGTGATTTTGTAAGTTTCAACAAAAAGGCCTGTTAGAATTTTTTTTTTTTTTTTTGGGGGGCGGGTACACGGGTCTTTCACCTTGGAACTACATCTTTATCTAGATTCCTAAGGTAATTATGTGAATGCAAATATTTGCATAATATACACATAAAGTGGGTGCATTGTATTGTATGTGAGTCATACCTCAATAAAGTTGATTTTTTTTGGCGGGGGCGGGTACACGGGCCTCTCACTGTTGTGGCCTCTCCCATTGCGGAGCACAGGCTCCGGACGTGCAGGCTCAGTGGCCATGGCTCACGGGCCCAGCTGCTCCGCGGCATGTGGGATCTTCCCGGACCGGGGCACGAACCTTTGTTCCCTGCATGGACAGGCGGACTCTCAATCACTGCGCCACCAGGGAAGCCCACCTGTTAGAATTTTTATTTGGACTGTCTAGGATCTATCAATTTAGGGAGAATTGATATCTTAACAATGTTGAGTCTTCAGACCTGTGAGCAAGGTATATCTTTCCATTTATTTAGGTCTTCTTTAATTTCCCTAAGCCATGTTTTGTAGTTTTCAGTTTCTTATACATCTTTTGTCAGATTTTTCCTTAAGTATTTCATATTATTCAATGATATTATAAATGATATTTTAAAAATCTAGTTCTGATGTTATCAATATATAGAAATATAATTGAGTTTTGTACTTTGTATCCTGCAAACTTGATAAACTCACTTATTAGTTCTAGTAGATTTTTTGTAGATTGAATTGGTTTTTCTAAATAGGTAATTATATTGTTTACAAATAAAGTACATTTTACTTTTTTCTTTCCCATCTGGATACATTTTATTTTTATTTTTTTTCTTGCCTTATTCCACTGGGTAGAACCTCCAATACAATGTTGAACAGATACGTTGAGAGTGGGCCTTCTTGCCTTGTTCGGGATCTTAGGGGGAAAACATTCAGTCCTTCACCAATTAAGTACGATATTAGGTATAAGTTTTTCATAGGTGCCCCTTATCAGGATGAGGGACTTTCCTTCTGTTCCTAGATTTCTGAGGGATTTTATTAGGAATGGACTTTGGATTTTGTAATTTTTTTCAGCATGTGTTGAGATGATCATTGGTTTTTCTTTTTTAGTTTGTTAAGGGTGGATTACTTTGATTGGTTTTTTAACATTAAAGTAACCCTGCTTTGCTGGAATAAATCTCACTCTAGTATGATATGTCCTACTTTTTATATGTTGTTGGGTTTGATACACAAAAATTTTATTTGGAATTTTTGCATCTATGTTCATGAGGGATATTGGTCTGTAGTTTTCTGGTAACATCATTTTGGTATCATTTTGCTTGTTTCATTTTGGTATCAGGGTAATGCTCGGTTCATTTCTGGAAAAGTTCGGGTAGAATTGATTCTTTTTTTTTTTTTTTCTTTTTTTTCATGTGTTTGGTAGAATTCACCAGCGAAGCCATCTAGGCCTAGAGTTTTCTTTGTGGAGAGGTTTTTAACTACAAATTCAAAATCTTTAATAGATGTAGGCTATTCAAGTTATCTGGTTTTTTTGCACAAACTTTAGTAATTTGGGTTTTTTAAGGAGTTTGTCCATTTATTAGATAAAGTTCATTTCCTTATTATCTTTTTAGTATCTGTAGAATCTATAGTAATACCTGGCTCTCTCATCCTTTTTTTTTTGGTCATGCCATGCAGCATTTGGGATCTTAGTTCCCTGACCAGGGATCAAACCCGTGCCCCCTGCATTGGGAGCGTGAAGTTGTAACCACTGGACTGCCAGGGAAGTCCCTCTCTCATTCTTTTTTTTGCAGTATGTGGGCCTCTCACTGTTGTGGCCTCTTCCGTTGCGGAGCACAGGCTCTGGACGCGCAGGCTCAGCGGCCATGGCTTATGGGCCCAGCCGCTCCACGGTATGTGGGATCTTCCCGGACCGGGGCACGAACCCGTGTCCCCTGCATCGGCAGGCGGACTCTCATCCACTGCGCCACCAGGGAAGCCCTCTCATTCTTGACATTAGTAATTTGTCTTCTTTTTTTTTCTGACCACTCTAATTAGAGGTTTATTAATTTAATTGATCTCCAAAGAAGTTTTTTGGTTTTCTGTTTTATTGATTTCTGCTCTGATATTTATTACTTCCTTCTACTTACTTGACGTTTTATCTCCTTTCTGTAGTCTCCTAAGGTGAAACCTGAGGTCATTGATATGAGACCCAGGTATAGAATTCTATTCTGATGTTTAAATGTCAGTACTTTAAAGATTTTGCTACACCATTTTCTCATTTATGTTGTTTTCCATGAGAAATCTGCTCTTATCCTTATCTTCATTCCTCTGTAAATAAGTGTCTTTTTTTTTTTTTTTTCTTTTTTACTTTCTCTGGCTGCTCTTAAGATTTTCTGCTGATCACTTGTTTTGGTGTGCCTTGATCCCTTGATTATGACGTACCTTTTTGTAGCTTTCTTTCTGTTCCTTATGATTGTGTTTATTGGGCTAGTTAGGTTTATAGTTTTTGTCAGATTTGGAAATTTTGACATTATTTCTTCAAATATTTTTCTGTCCCCCCCCATTTCCTTTTCAGGAACTTCCATTTAAACTTCTGTTAAGCTCACTCATGTGTTGTTGATTTTTTTTTTATTTCTTTTTTAAATTTTAGATATTTGCTATTCATGTGTTTTCAAGTTCACTAATCCTTTCTTTTGCAAAGTCAAAACTGCCCTTAATCCCATTCAGGTATTTTTTAGCTTATATATTCATCTTAGTTTTCATCTATAGTAGTATCATTTGGGTCTTTTAAAAAAAATATATTATTTGTTATTTCTTTTTTTAAATTTATTTATTTTATTGATTTATTTTTGGCTGTGTTTGGGTCTTTGTTGCTGCGCGTCAGCTTTCTCTAGTTGCGGAGAGTGGAGCCACACTAGAGTGTGGGCTTCTCATTGCAGTGGCTTCTCTTGTTGTGGAGCACGAGCTCTAGGCACGCGAGCTTCAGTAGTTGTGGCACGTGGGCTCAGAATTTGTGGTTTGTGGGCTCTAGAGTGCAGGCTCAGTAGTTGTGGCTCATGGGCTTAGTTGCTCCGCGGCATGTGAATCTTCCCAGGCCAGGGCTCGAACCCGTGACCCCTGCATTGGCAGGCGCCACCAGGGAAACCCCTCTTATTTGCTTTTATTGAACTTTTTGAACATATGGTATATGTTTATTATAACTGTGTTGATGTCCTTGTTTGCTAATTCTTATGTTTATGTCAGTTCTGGGTCAGTTTTTCTCATTTTTTTGTTTTGTTTTATTTGTCTTTATAGATAATGTTACAACATTTCAAACTTTATTCAGACACACCAGTGGTGGCAAAGAGCACAAACAAGTGACAGGCATGATTGCTAACGCCAGGATCAAAGGCCAGGAAGGAGCTCGAGAGAGCCTGTTGGTCCCTGCCTTCCCCACACCTTGCTGTCACTTTCGTTTTTGTTTTTTTTTACTGGCGTATAGTTGCCTTACACTGCTGTGTCAATTTCTGCTGTACAGCAAAGCGAATCAGCCATATATATACATATGTCCCTTCTTGTTTGGATTTCCTGCCCATTTAGGTCACCACAGAGCACTGAGTAGAATTCCTTGTGCTATACAGTAGGTTCTCATTAGTTATCTATTTTATACATAGTAGTGTATATATGTCAATCCCAATCTCCCAATTCATCCCCCCCACCTTTTCCCCCTTGGTGTCCATACATTTGTTCTCTACATCTGTGTCTCTATTTCTGCTTTGCAAGTAAGATCATCTATACCATTTTTCTAGATTCCACATATATGCATTGATATACGATATTTGTTTTTCTCTTTCTGACTTACTTTACTCCGTATGACAGTCTCGGTCTTTCCACGTCTCTGCAACAGTTCCAGATCAATTTTGATTAATTGTTTTATCATGTCATCATGGGTGGCAATTTCTTGCTTTTTTAGATTCCTGGTAATTTTTGACTGGATTCTAGACATTGTAAGCTTTACTTTGTTGAGTGCTGGATATTTTTGTATAGATGGTTCCCAACTTATGGTGGTCTGACTTAAAATTTTTTGATTTTACGATTTTACAGTGGTGCAAAAGCAATATACATGTAGAAACTGTACTTTGAATTTTGACCTTTTCTTTGGCCGGCCATATCCGGTACCATACTCTCATGTGATGCTGGGCAGTGACAGTGAGCCATAGCTCCTGTGCAGCCACACAATCACAAGGATAAATAACTGATACTTAGAACCTTTTTGTTTTTCACTTTTAGCATAACAGTCAATAAATTATATGAGATATTCAACACTTTATTATAAAATAGGCCTTGTGTTAGGTGATCTTGCCCAACTTTAGGCTAATGTAATTGTTCTGAGCACATTTAAGATAGGCTAGGCTAAGCTATGATGTTTGGAAGTTAGGTGTATTAAATGCATTTTTGTCTTATGGTATTTTCAACTTATGATTTGTGATGGATTTATCAAGATGTAACCCCATTGTAAATTGAGGAAGATCTATATTCTTATAAATATTCTTGAGCTTGCTTCTGGGATGAGGTTATGTTACTTGGAAACAGTTTGTTCCTTTCAGGTCTTTTAGTTTTTTTTTAAATTTATTATTCTTTTTAGATGCAAGGTTGGAGCAGTGCTCAGGCTAGGACTAATTATTTCCTACTACTGAAATGAGACCCTTCTTTGCATTCTACTCAGTGCTCCCACGAATCCTGAGTTCTCATAGTCTGATTGGTGGGAACAGGCACTATTCTCAGCCCTGTGTAGGTTCCCAGTACTGTTCTCTATAATCCTTTCCTGTGGTTCTTTCCATAACCTCAGGCAGTTTCTTCATAAACATGTACTGATCAGTACCAAGCTGAGGACTTAAGGGAGACACTCTGCAGATCTCCAGAGTTTTCTCTCTCTGCTGCTCTCTCCTCTCTGGTGCTCTGTTCTGGGAATTCTGTCTGCCTCAGTCTTCCTGGATTCTTAGCTTTATTTCCCTCAAATCAAGGGCTGTTCTGGGCCTGGACATTCTCTCAAGGCATTAAGCTGGAGCTTTTGTAGAGTTTACCTCACTTGTTTTCAGATATTCAGATATCACTTACCTTTATTCCCTGATGGTCCAGTTTGTTGAAAACTGATATTTCGTATATTTTCTATAGTTATTTCAAGTAGGAGAGTAAATTTAGTCCCTCTTACTCCATCTTATCCAAAGTGTAATTCTCTTGGATGGCTACTTTAGATTAGATGGTTAAAGAGGTTTTCCAAGGAGATGTCCTTTAGGCTGAGATTTGAATGACAAGAGGGAAGCAGCTATATTAATATCTTAGAACAGAATATTGTGGTGTTAAGAAGTTAGTCTAAAGCAAGAATAAAGCTTTACCGGTTCAAGAAACCAAAGAGTCAACTGTCTGAATCAAGGGCAGGAGTGTTATACTGTGCTCTTCAAGAGGTACACAGGGACCTCTGGTGAAGAGTTTGGATTTAAACCTAAACGTTATGGGAAACTGTGGGAGAGTTTAAAGCAGGGAGTGGCATAGTCTGGTTTACATTTTAATACCATCATTCTGGCTGCTTTAAGGATAATGGATTGTAGGGGGTGCAAGTGTAGAGAGGCTTGTTAGGAGGTCATTACATTAATCTAGAGCTCTGCTGTCTGATACTGTAGCCACTAACCACAGATGGCTATTTAATATAAATTAAATTTAAATAAATTCAGTTCCTCAGTTGCAAAGTGTTTAATACCACATCTGGTTAGTGGCAGCATAGATTATAGAATATTTTCATCATCATAGAAAATTCTATTGGATAGCACAGGTCTAGAGAGAGATAATTTTAAGCTTGGAGTAATATGGAGCTATAGAGTTGGAACAGAGTGGGTAGATTTAGAAAATGTTTTGGAGTTAACTTGCTTGCTGATATAATGAATCAGGAATAACTCCAAGGTGTTTAGGTAATGCTACTAGATGGATGAGGCCAATTAGGGAAGGAACAGTATGGTTGGAGGGATGAGAATCAGGAGTTGTGTTTTTGCCATGTTATATCTGGGATGCTTATTATCTATGTGGCTAAATCTAGAATGCAGATTTGAGAGTTTGTATTCAAGGGAAAAAGGCATAACTAGATAGACAGATTTGGGACTGTATTGGTCTGCTAGGGCTGCCATAACAAAATACCAAGACTGGGTAGCTTAAACAACATTTATTTCTCCCAGTCCTGGAGGCTGGAAGTCCAACATCAAGGTATTGGCAGGTTTGGTTTCACCCAAGGCCCCTGTCCTTGGCTTGTAGACAGCTGCCTTCTCTCTGTCCTCACATGGGCTTTCCTCTGTATGTGCCCTCAGTGTCTCTTCCTCTTACAAGGACACCAGTCCTATTAGATAAGGCCCCCACTCTTATAACCTCACTTAACCTTAATTATCTCTTTAGAGGTCCTTTTCTCCAAATTGTCACATTGTGGTGTTAGGACTTCAGCTTAAGAATTTTGGGACACCATTTGGGACACAATTCCGTCCCTAACAGGACTGATCTGCATATAGATATTATCTAAAGCTATAAGAGCAAAGGAAATGCGTGTGTGGGGTATCGGAGAGCCTCAGATGAGGCCTAGGCACAGCAGTGGGCACAGGTCCAGCAAGGGAGGTGGAGCCAGTAAGGGGAACTGGAAAGAAGCAGCCATTGAGGCAAAGGGCGAAGAGGGAGAATGTGGTGCCCTGAAACAGACAGAAGTGTGTTCACTTGGTCAGAGTGCTCCTGAGGTTCAGTGGCAAGTAGGTATGAATATTGAGGAACAGAAAGACGACCAAAGTGGCTGGAGTATAGTGAGTGAGTAGTAAGAGATGTAATTGAAAAAGTGGCCTTGAAGACTGATAAAGGTGTTCGTTTTTTGTTTGTTTGTTTTAATTTATTTATTTTTATTTTTGGCTGCCTTAGGTCTTTGTTGCTGCGCGCGGGCTTTCTCTAGTTGCGGCGAGCGGGGGCTACTCTTCGTTGCGGTTTGTGGGCTTCTCATTGGGTGGCTTCTCTTGTTGCAGAGCACCGGCTTTAGGTGTGTGGGCTTCAGTAGTTGTGGCACTCGGGCTCAGTAGTTGTTGCTCGCGGGCTCTAGAGCGCAGGCTCTGTAGTTGTGGCGCACGGGCTTAGTTGCTCCGCGGCATGTGGGATCTTACCGGACCGGGGCACGAACGCATGTCCCCTGCATCGGCAGGCGGACTCTCAACCACTGCGCCACCAGGGAAGCCCTAAGGTGTTAGTTTTAATCTAAGAAAAATAGGCAGTCATGGAAGAGTTTTAAGCAGTAGAATGCAAGACTCTTATCAAGATTTGTGTTATTAAAATAATTTGAAAAAAAGGAATTCAATCAGACAAGAACATAGAATAAAGGTTTGTGTTATTAAAAAGTTCACTCTGTTGTGTAGAGAACTGTTTAGAGGAGGAAGCAAGAGAACGTAGTCATTGATGGAGGGTTAAGGGGTGATCAGGAGAAGGTTTGAGTTGGGATGGCTGTATCCTTTATTGGGGTGAGTGATACTGGAAGGGGGATGATTGCGTGGGGCAGTGGTTATGAATTCAGCTTTTGAACTATCTTGTTTGAGATGCTAAAGGTATTTCTGTTTACAGTAGCATGCCACTGATTCAAGTCTAGGAACTTTTTTTTTTTAATAAATTTATTTATTTATTTTTGGCTGCTTTGGTTCTTCATTGCTGTGCATGGCTTTCTCTAGTTGTGGCGAGCAGGGGCTACTCTTCGTTGCAGTGCGCAGGCTTCCCATTGTGGTGGCTTCTATTGTTGCAGAGCACGGGCTCTAGGCACACAGGCTTCAGTAGTTGTGGCACGCGGGTTCTAGAGCGCAGGCTCAGTAGTTATGGCACACGGGCTTAGTTGCTCTGAGGCATGTGGGATCTTCCTGGGCCAGGGCTCGAACCCGTGTCCCCTGCATTGACAAGTGGATTCTTAACCACTGTGAAACCAGGGAAGCCCTAGGAACTTTTTTTTTTTTTTTTTTTTTTTCAGTACGCAGGCCTCTCACCGTTGTGGCCTCTCCCGTTGCGGACCACAGGCTCCGGACACACAGGCCCAGCGGCCATGGCTCACAGGACCAGCCACTCCGCGGCACGTGGGATCCTCCTGGACCAGGGCACAACCCGTGTCCCCTGCATCGGCAGGCGGACTCTCAACCACTGCGCCACCAGGGAAGCCCCCTAGGAACTTTCTGACAAGTAGAACTGGGAAGAATTTGAATACTTGTATTTTTATCTGAATTAATTGAAGCAATTTTCAAATAGATAGGTGGATTATAAACGTAGAGGGTCACAGTTGTTTAAGGAGCTCTTAAACACCAAAAAGTAGTGTACTGGCAAGTATTTGCATATATGCTATTTTTAGTTGTTGCCAGTAGAGAGAATAAGGGAATTTAAAAAATACTCATGGTTAAGAAAAGAGTAAGTGCAACTGATTTAATTAGGTATAAACTTGTTCATTTAGTAGGACTAATGGTTATCACATCACTTTAAGTATCTTGAATATTCGATAATTGACTGTTTGGACATTGATTAAATGCTAATAGTAATTTATCACATAATAGCCTTCGATTACATATATTTTTTCCTGTGCTTATCATTTGGAAAGAAAATATTTTTTCAGTCTTTACCTACATTGGAGACTTAAAAAGTAGTAGTAGAGATGAGAAATTTAAGTAATATTTATCAAGTAGTTATATCCAGAACATTGTGCCATCATATCCTTTATTGACTTCTATAGAAATGAAACATGAAAAATTTGAAAAGTACCCCAATTAAGTTAGCACAATTTATAGTAAGTCTTTTGTGACATAGATTGCATTGTATAGTACGTTGTAGTACTGTGGTATAGTAATAATATTTTTACTATAGATTCAGACTCCAGAGAAAAATGGCTCTTTGATCTCAAGTAAAGAGAGCTGAATTTATCTTTTTCATTTGAATCATTGTCTCTTTTTGTTTTTAATTACAGGGCTATTCCCTGATGTGGGTGGAGGTTATTTCTTGCCACGACTTCAAGGAAAACTTGGGTGCTTCCTTGCATTAACAGGATTCAGGCTGAAAGGAAGAGATGTGTATACAGCAGGCATTGCTACACACTTTGTAGATTCTGAAAAGGTAATTACTTGGATGATTGGGTTTTGTGTTGTTTGGAATAGCTCCTGGGGAGGCAGTATGAGTGGTTAAGATTACAGGCTTTGGTCTACATGGGTCTGAACCCTACATGTACCCTTGAAGCTGTGTGACCCTGGGGAAGGTGCTTAAGCTCTCCAATCCTCATTTCCTCATATGCAAAATGGAAATAATTATATCTGGATCCAGGGCTGTTTTGCCTGGTACCTTCAGTGAATATTTTTTAATGAATAATTATAGTCTGTGTAAAAAAATTAGTAATATTTTAAGGAAGTCTAATATATAAAAATCTGAATTTATGTATAAAAAGATAGGCTTTTATAAAGATATTTTTGAAAGATTCTTTTGTTTGTTAGTTTCCCAGGTGCATTTAAAAGTTTGTAAAATATGGTCTTAAAAACTCTTCTGAAGGGTATCTGTTGTAAGGCACACATATTACTTACCTTGGTCTTAAAACATTTTTCTTAAACAGCACGGTCAGTTTTCTTAGCCCAGGATAGCACAGTGGCAAAGGATGTGCAGATGGACAGCCTGGTTTTAAATCTTAGCTTCAATTTATCCTCTTTAGCCCCAGTTTTCCCATCTCCACAGTGAGGACAGCAGTTTTGTCATAGCAGTTGAAAGTCATTGTGTTAAATGTAACAGAAGGCCCAGTTCAAGGTGGTTTTGCCTCAGAACTCCCAGCAAGAGATTTGGGATTTTTCTGCTTCAGCTGGCTTATCTCAGTCTTTTGGACTGGCTTGTGGCTGAACCACATGGGTGGGTGGAATACACTGGCTAATCTATCCTAGCTAATGTGCTCCATCCCTGGAACTGTGGGGTAAAGTCAGTTTCCCAGGAAGCCCATGGATTTCTGATCTTGAGGTAGGGGTGTTATGGGATAGGGGAAGGAATGCTATTAAAATGTATGAAGTATACAAAGTTGAAAGTTGTCCCCTTACACTGTTACGAGGGCCTTCTATCACATTTGCCTGAATTTTCAGATCTTTCTCTTTTTTAGATCTTTATGGGCATCCTTGGTCACATTGAGTAGGTGGCTGTCTCATTCTTCCCTTAAGCTGTAACAGGAAGCAAACATGGGTACTCCATTATTTGCTCTGGAGGGACACCTTTGATTATAGTGGAATTTGGTTAAGGATGGGGGAGAGAGCTGATCCACAGCCCTTTCCTCTCTTAGTCAGATTGCCCAGTAATATATGCAATGCATAGCCTACCATTTACAGGGCCTGTAGTGGATAACAGAAATGAATAATACACATTGGGAATGGGGCTAGAGGTTGGTACAAAAGATAAAAAAACATCTGTATCATCTGACAGAGTAAAGTATGGAAAGTGTACAAACAGAATACAAAGAAAGGATTCAACGGATTGAATCCATTGAAGGAAGAGCTTACTTATAAGAAAGGACTGGAAGTTTTCTCGTAGAGGTTGCAGTTCAGCTGGGCCTTAAGATAAGTATTGTCAGGAGAAGTTTTTCTGGATAGAGGAGACTTTAATGATCAAGTCCCATAGGGGTAGGAAAGCATTAGCTGTGTTTTAGAAACAGTAAAAAGTCCATTTGGCTGAGTGTAGGAAGAGGTATATGAGGGATATAGGGGGAAAGCTGTTGGAGGACAGAGGGAACGAAAAATACCCACCGAACTGAGAAGGTATCTTGAGACCAAAAAATGAGGCAGGCGGCTCCATATAATCAGTGGATCAGTTTGTTAGAGGGTAACTTATGCTCAGGGTGGCATTGGGCGGACAGTGATCTGGCAGCATTTGCAACTGCACTCCGCACTGCTCAGGGGCCACTGGGATAGTTTTATAGTTGACCTTTGGGTATGGGGATGTGTGCTTGGAAACAGGACATGCATTCCTAAATTGGGATTTATGAATGGGTAACTCGTCTCTTGGGCACTAGGAATACATACGTCAGTGAGAGTCTTCATCATTGTTCGGGGACTAACAGAGCATGGAGGCCACTTGGTCCTAATGATTATTAAACGATGTCTATTAACTATTGATACAAAGCCCTTGATGACAGAGAAGTGATTTACCACACAGTACAGTCCTGGGTAGGGTCAGTGGAAGGACAGGAGGAACTGTATGGGCCCAAGATGGTGTCAGTTATGTTAATAGCCATATAAGAGTTAAGTGTGGCTATATTATAGACCTGTGCATTGACTATAGTAGCCATTAGTCACATGTGGCAATTTTCGTTAAAATTAATTAAAATAAAATTTATAATTGGGATCTTTAGTTGCAACACTACATTTCAAGTGCTCAATAGCTAGAGGGAAACAAAGATGAATGTCTCTATTTCTCCTCTTCAGTTTCTTTCGTCTTTATCCATTCCTTGCAAGGCAGCATTTACTTTGTGGGAATGTGTGTGCCTTCAACTTCAGTGAAAATTGCCTTCATTGACTCAGCTGAAGGGAGAGCATCATAATTTTAAGACAAGGATTTTTAAAAAGAACATAAGATTTCTAAAGAAATAAATTGTGTTGCTGTGGTGTTCTAAATGTTTTCCTTCCCCCCCCCCCCGTAGTTGGGCATGTTAGAAGAAGATTTGTTAGCCCTGAAATCTCCTTCAAAAGAAAATATTGCAGATGTCTTAGAAACTTACCATGCAAAGGTAATCTTGTCAGTATTCTAACCTCAGATTTTAATTCATGGGGAAGGGGAAGTGACTGAAAAATTAGCAGTTGGTGAATATTATAGTTTGTGGATATAAATAAATGTACTGGGATTTATTTACTTTAAAGCTTGTAGGGAGTATCAGTGCTTCACAATCATTAGGATGGCCATCTGAGAAGATGACTTCTTTACATGCAACTACACAGCTTGTTTTCTCATTGCTGGTGAATTTTCAGTGCATAGCCTTGTGATTGGCCCTTGCAAGGGCTTTTTGCAACACACGGTGACATTTGTGTAATGGAGGTTCAGTGTTGATGCTATTTGTGGAGCTGCTAAAGTGAAACTCTGGTCTATATCGAAATATAATAATAACATACAATGCAGTGTTTTCTTTTAATTCCTTTTGTTGTCTAACTTAAATTCTCTTTTAAGAGCCAGGAATCTATAAAAATGCTACATGACTTCTAGTTAAACATGTTAGATGCCATATATGCTCCCTCCTGAAACCCCACTAAAATTGTAGTAAAGGAATAAGAAAGGCAGGAATCAACAAAGAGAAGTAGAACAGAAAAGGAGACAGTGGCAGGCATGAGATGTCAGGATTTTGGAAGCTTGAAAGTGGAATGATGAGGGCAACTACTTTAGACCTGAGAACACTGAACTCAGTGGGAGAAGCCAATAAGAAGTAAGCCAGTTCTTTCTGTAGACTCTTTGTAGGGTACCAGCTCCCTTTGACAGACCTTGCTGGCTAAGGGCAGGAATAGGTGAGGTGCTCTACTGAAAAGAGGCAGAACATATTAAATGGGAAGAATTTTGGCCTCTTTTCCTAGTTGGTTTCCAGAACTCTTACGTACCATCTATCTAAGTTTGGGCAGCCATAACAAAAGTACCGTAGACTTGGTGGCTTAAACAGCAGAAATTTCTCGCAGTTCTGGAGGCTGGAAGGTCCAAGATCAAGGTGCCAGCCTATTAGGTTCCTGGTGAGGAACTTCGTGTTTTGCAGATGAATGCCTTCCTGCTGTGTCCTCACATAGCAGAGAGAGAAAGTGAGCTCTCTCAGATCTCTGCTTATAAGGGTGCTAATCCCATCCTGAGGGCTCCATCCTTTTGACTTAATTACCTCTCAAAGGCCTCACCCCCAGATACTATCACATTGGGATTAAGATTTCAACATGAATTTTGTGGGGGCACAAACATTTAGTCAGTAGCACCATCCTACTCCCAAGCAGTTCATTAGAAGCAAAAGAAAACCTGTAGCTATTGACATTCAAGCACCCCTCTATGAAAAAAAACATCCAGGCCTGATCATCTCATAGTGCATCAGACAATTGATAGTCCCATAACTGCAATTGACATTACACACAAAGCTTCCTAATTTTAGTGCTTCACATAGAATAACAAGGATTGCCAGGCATTAAAAACTGGAGATTGGCTAAAATAAAAAAATGTACTTGAAGGAAGTAGGCAATGCAAGGAGAAGAAGGAGCCCTAACAATTATAGGTTTGGTTGTTTTTTTTAATCTTCAGATAAGAGGAAAATATTTCATCTGTGAAATAAGAACAGATGTTATGAAGAGAAATAAAAAGAAATTTAAAATGTGACAGCGAAATGGGGGAAACCTCACAACAGATTAGATTACAATTGATGGATGAGGAAGACTCTAAGAGGATAATAAGATGGAAAATGGAGAGAAAAGAAAACTTGGTATTATTCCAGGAGGTCCAAACCTGTTAGGAATTTGTAACAGAGGAGAGGAAGTATTTAGAGAAATGGTACCCCCCCCCCCGCCACCAAATTACCCAGAACAGAAGAACATGAGTACAGATTCATGGGCCCTGAATAGTTAGTGTATGAATATGAATACAGAGCATGTGAGCATTTCATCAGATTTTGTCAAAGCATCTGACAGTCTCTTACGTTGTCAAATTGGGTAAACGTGGGATGGATTATAGCGTGTGGGGGGTTGAAGCGCCTTCCCAAGGAGTTCTGTTAAATGTTTGGGTATTAGGCTGTAAGTGAAGCCGTCTTGGCCTTCTCTTAGTCAGTGTTTTCCTCCGTGATTTGGATGAGAATGTTGATGGTGTTTTGATCAGACTGATTTGAAACTAAGAAACTAAGTTAAATTAGGTAAACATGTTTGTGGGAAAAAAAAAAAACAACCAAGTTCAGAGTGATCTGTTTAATAGTAAAAATGTGAAATTTGATAGATGTGTGGGGAAACCCTCCATGTGTTTTCCTTTCCTTCTCACTACTACCACATTCACAACACTCCTGACTCCAGACGTGTTGGTTTTCCACACATCAGGCAATTCTCCACGACACAAGCTGGGTGTCTTATGATTCCTTTCAATGCTGCCATTGTCTACCTGAGGTTCGCATCAGATCCCACAACTTAACGGGCCCAGTCCCACAAGTTGGACCCTACTTTACACACCAGTCACAAATCCCAGGTTGTCACCTGTACTTCTTACAGACTAGTAATAAATTGGGGTTCTCATGACCCCCTCCTTGGGTTTGATAATTTGCTAGAATGACTCACAGATCTCAGGGAAACACTTAATATTTATTGGTTTATTATGAAGGATATGAATGCACAGCTTGATGAAGAGATACATAGGGTGAGGCCCAGAGGGGCCTCAAGCCCAGGAGCTTCTGTCCCCATGAAGTTGGAGTGAACCACTCACTCTCCCTGCATGTTCATCAACCTAGAAACTCTCCAAACCCCATCCTTTGGAGTTTTTATGACAGCTTCATTATGTAGGCATGATTGATTAAATCATTGACATTGGTGATCGAACTCAATCTCCAGCCCTTTTCCCCTCACTGGAGGTGGAGATGGGGGAGGTGTGGGATTAGATAGTGGAGTATGGCACTGCAACTTCCCTTGGTTGGTTCCCCTGGCAACCAGCCCCCATCCTTAGGGCTTTCCTATAGTCACCTCAGTAACATAAACAAAGGTGTGATTGAAAGGGGCTTGTTGTGAATAACAAAATACAGCCATTTCACCTTTATTTCAGGAACCAAAGACAAAAGACCATATATTATAACAAAAGGTGATCTACTTAGGGATTTTCATGGGTTTTGGGGAGCTGTGAGCCTGGAACAAAAGGCCAAATATATGGACAAAGACCAAATACATATTTTTTATTTTAAATCACAGTATCACAATAGAGATAATTGTATTTCAGTCCAGGGTACCAAATTCATAAGTACAGGATGGGAGAAATGTAGCCTACAATGGCACCAGTTTTAAAAAAAGTTTTAACTGCCCAGTGTAAATCACAGCATAATAGGACTGCCCCAAAACTAACCTAGAGTTAGTCCTGTTATTTAGAGCATTGTATCCAAAACAAGGGTATGCGGAACCTTGTTGTACTTTGCTATGATTCAGCCACATCTGCAGCTAAGGTACATGTACCACACTTTAAGAATGACCTTGATAAACTGGAATTTGTACATAAGAAGGACCTGGATTGTGAAGGGACTCAAAACTGCACTGTGTGAGAAAAGATTAACTCAAGGGGGATTAACTAGAACTATAAACACGAGAGGGCTGATTTTTGGTTCAAAAAAAATTTTTTTTTAATCCTAATTATAGTTGTTCAAGCACTTATGAGTTCTTTTCTGAGGTAGTGTTTTTTTTCCCCTGGAGGTCAGTGCTGTGGGGATATCGGGGATGTGGTGGGGATATCGGGGATGTAGGGATTTCTATATCAGACAGAAATTGAGGCAGGATGACTCAGGTCATCCTGATGACTTCTCAGGTCCCTTGAAATCCTTAAATTCATTGACACACTTTAATGATAACATAATAATATATAATGGCATACAAATAAAAATACAAGAACATTTTTTGCTGTTGATAGTTTTAAGAGCTAGTCTGGAATAATACATAGTGTCTGAATTTTGAACATATGGTAGTAGTTATTTATGAGACTGGATGTAATTTGAGTGAAAGTTGCAATCTGCCACAAAATATATCATTAAATATGGTGAAAATTTTAAGAATTTTTAAGATTTGAGTTGCATCAAATTAATTAAAGATTTTTATTTTCAAACAGTCCAAGATTGATCAAGACAAGTCTTTTATACTTGAGGAACACATGGACAAAATAAACAGGTACTTAAAGAGAGGTGTCAATTATATCTGTTCCTTTGGAAAGACTATATTAAATTGAATTTACTACTAACGCTGTAATTGTGCTGTGTTTGATAATGCACCAAATTCTGAGATCAGATAACACAGTGTTTTTTTTAGTTACCTTTGAAAGTAGCTTCCTGCCTACTCCTTCAGGGGGAAATAAACTCATTAAATTTAAGTAATCTATCATGCTGATTCATTTTAGTGCAAAACATTTCTTTAATGGGGAAGAGAGTATAGAAAATAACAATTGAATTAACTTATCTTTTATCATTGTAAAGTCATCTTCTCTGAAGGTCTTATCAAGCTGATCAGCAAAAGGTTTTGTGCAATGATTTGAGAGACTGACAGACTGACTTAAACACAAGAGGAGGAAAACTGTTGGAAAATAAGGCAACTATCATTACGTTTTAGAAGCATCAGTTTTTGACAGTTAAGACATCATTTACTTATTATGATAGATGCAAGAAAGCAGAAGAGAAAATGTAGGCTTTATTTCCCATTAGTGAAGGTAGACTGCAAATACCCAGAGAAACAATGTTCTATTTCATCATCCTGTAATATAGGTTGGAAATTTTTTCATTCTTGAAATAGGGTTTAGGGGAAGCCTGTGTTTAGACCCATTGCTATCATGGAAAGAAGAAATCACTTACACATTGTTGAAATCTTATGTTTCCCTTTTTTTCATAGTTGGTTCTCAGCCAATACTGTGGAAGAGATTATTGAAAATTTACAGCAAGATGGTTCATCTTTTGCCCTAGAGCAGTTGAAGGTAATGTATAGATTGTTTCCACCATGAGAGTGAATTCTTGTGATAGGGAAGCCTCTGAGGGGTGTCAGAGCTCCGTGATGGTGACATAGCCCACTGCACAGTTTTTTTTCTGAACTCAGTTGCGCTCCAGAAAGTAGTTCCACAAAACCTTTACCTAAACCCAAATGCCTTGTCTACCTGCTGGATATTGATAACAAAGCTAAGCTGTTTTTAGGTCTTTTTGACTATAAGAGAGAATGACTTCATAAGCATGCTTCATCTCCAGTAGTCCTCCTTGTCTTGAGGGAGAAATGTTCAGGGGTGTTTTTATTAGAAGGGTTGGATCAATGGAGAACAGTCACCTTATATTATATTGCAGTTGTGACATTAGTCTGTAAGTTCTATTTAATGTGCAACACATCAGTATATGGTCTTTTTAGCAGTAGGTTTAATAAGAAAGTGATCCTTTCTAAACTAACAAGAGGCTCCATCTTGGCCATAGCCAAGTCCTAAGCAGTGTTTCTCAGTGTTAGGTACACTTTGATCTTTCTTCAACATGACTCAACTGGTAACAGCAGAAGAAAAGCTCTTTTTGTGTAAATGAGTGCATATTGGATACTGACATTCATGGAACTATCATGTGACTGTGAAACTTGGGGTACTTTAGACTTCTAGACAAAGGAAAGAAATGTATGTTTCCTTTTACTAGAAAGAAAAGGTGGTTTCTCTTCATCTGGTAGTATTTTTCAATTTACAGGTATAGTTATAGCATTTCAGTTGTCACGTAACTTACTGACAAAAAATTTAAATTAAATCTTACCTGTGAAGATGAAAACATTTCCTCATTCTTAAGGGAATATTAATTTGTCTCTTAGGATCTTATTTAGTATTGGAATTCTATTAACTTTCAAGGATAGGCATAAATTAGAGTAAGTAGACCAGCCATATATTTCCCTAACTCACAAAAGTAATGTTACTGTTAACAGCTTTCAGGAATGTTTGCATAAATGTAGATAACCATTTTATATTTCAAGGATTCTGACTTGAAAGTTGGTTCTCTTGTTTTCAGAGCAATATAGGAACCAGCATTCCTGTTTGTTTGTTTGTTTTTTCAGCAATAGGGTTAAGTATGTACTTAGCAATTTCATTTGAAAATAGTCATGCAGCACATTACCTCATAGGCTATATATTGAATACTATAAAAGCAGTACAGATAAGCAACTAACCATATTATTTTAAAACCACTGGCCTACCCCAAAACTGAGGGATAGGACTCAGATGGTCTTCCAGTTTTCCTCCCATTTCTCTGGCGATATGTTTATTCGGCATTCAGAAGAGGGTACTTGGCAAGCCACCCATCACAGCTGGAATCAGCATAAGCACCCTCACTGGAAGGACCGATTTTCATTTTTATTCAGTTGACCTGCTCTGTTGAATGAATGTGGCTCCACAGTATTAGTATCTGCTGGGAGTAACATGATGTGGGTATCAGAAATTCCCACTGAGGCTTCCCTGACAGAGACTTAGAAATAGGGCTTCTTTTAATTATGTCAGCCAGAAACACACACCAAGAAACAACCCTGAAGGAGAAGACAGTTGTTAGTGCTTCAGTGACAGGTTTGCAGATCACGTGTTTGAACAACTTTTAAAGAAGATTCTAACACTTGTGTCAGTAAACCTCAAGGATTGCTCCTGACCCTGTGGACTCTTCAGGGATTCCTATCTTCCTTCTGCAGGTCTCAATGATCTAGTCTGTATTGATGTTTGAAGTTGTAACCATCTACTCCATGTCTTAGGGGTTCCTTTCTCTCTAGGATTGTCCATCGGGAAGGACCTAATCTTTTCAACATACTTGCTTATCATTAAATAAAAACATACAGTTTTTCTTTAATCCTTTCTTTAGATTTTTAAATGCCAGTCACTATAGGATAACATACGGGCTAAAAAAACTGACAAATATGGGGAAGTTGGTAAAGAAGTTCCATCTTTACAACTGATGGAATTTTCGTAGTACCTTATTTTATGGCTTCTAATGTCCTTTCTTAAATTTTCCTCCTAAGTTCCAATACACTTTTTTTTTCGTTTTTTAAATAATGCTGTGGGTTGGAATTAATCAAATCTCCTTTTAATCACTCTTTTGGTGTAGGTTGTTCATGGTGCCAAGCAATCCATGTAAACTAATGGGCTATTTAAATGCCCTGATGAGTAGTTTATATTAGAGAAACCTTAACCAAAGACTCCCATTGCGGTATTCTCGTGTGTGTGCGCGCGTGTGTGTGTGTGTGTGTGTGTTTAGTTGTGGTCAAATACATGTAACGTAAAACTTAACATCTGAACCATTTTAAAGTGTATAGTTCAGTATTGTTAAGTATATTCACGTTGTTGTGCAATCAATCTCCAGAATATTTTCAACTTGCATAACTGAAACTTTATACCCATTAAACAGTAACTCCCCATTTCCTTCTCCCAGTCTCTGGCAACCACCATTCTGCTTTCCTTTTCTGTGGATTTGACTACAATGGACAGCTTGCATAGGTGGATCATACAGCATTTTTCCTATTGTGACTAGCTTATTTCACTTAACCATGACGTTTCAGGTTTCACCCATGTTGTAGCGGGTACCAGAATTTCATTTTTTTTTAAGGCTCAATAATATTCCATTGTATGTTTATGCCACATTTTATCCATCCATCTGTTGATGGGCATTTGGGTTGCTTCTACCTTTTAGGTCTTGTTAATATCGCTGCTATGAACATGGGTTTACAAATATCTGCTTTTAATTCTTTGAATACATACTCAGAAGTGGAATTGCTACATCACATGGTAATTCTATTTTTAATGTGTTGAGGACTTCCACACTCTTTTCCATAGCAGATGCACCGTTTTATGTTCCCACTGACAGCAGTGCACAGAGGTTCCAGTTTTTCTGCATCCTTGCCAACACTTGTTATTTTCTGTCTTTAAAAAAAAAAATAGCCATCCTAATGGCTGGGGGGTGATAGCTCATTGTGGGTTTTTTTTGTTTTTGTTTTTCGGCCACTCCACGCGGCTTGCAGGATCTTAGTTCCCTTACCAGAGATTGAACCCGTGCCCTTGGCAGTGAAAGCGTGGAGTCCTAACCACTGGACCACCAGGGAATTCCCTCATTGTGGTTTTAATTTTCATTTCCCTAATGGTTGGTGATATTAAACACCTTTGCATATGCTGATTGGCCATTTATATTTTCTTTGGAGATATGTTTAAGTTCTTTGCTCATTTTTTAACTGAGTTTTTTGTTGTTGTTGTTGTTGACTTGTAGGAAGTGCTCTCCTGATTCAATCTCCCTTTTCTGGTAATGAGACTAGCAAGCTTGCCAAAGTACAGAAGGTTCTTCAGGGCCAATGAGAGAAGTATTTCTTTTCCAGAATTACAAGTGATGTCAGTAATCAAAGGGAATCATGGTTAGAAGCGGTTGAGACGACCTCCCTTGCCTCAACTCTCAGCAAGGATACTAATCCAAGGAAGGAATTTAAATGGGTCACCAGTCCTTAGGAGGGCTGGGGAATGAAGTCCATGGCCCAGAGAGGCAGAGAAACAAGAGCAGAGAGGAGTGAGTTAAATTAGTGTCCAGGAAGGTGGTCCTGAGCAAATGGCCAGGGAAACCAGTGCTGCTTTTGACTTGTCTTTTAGGCGTTTTCTTGTTACTGATGTAGGATATCCTGCTGTGTTAAAGGCTTAGAGAGAGGGTGTATACTTTGCTTTTCCAGTACTAGAAAACTCTTATTAGATTTTTTGGGATTTCTTCTTTCTAATCACTGATGTGAGATTTATGTATTTTTTTATTTTAAAATGCTCATTTCATGAAGGGTAAATGAAACTCAGTTTTTACTTGAAGAAGTTAACATACAAGACTATGACAGGCCTCTATAAAGAATTCATGCACTGAAAAATTGCAGGAAAAATAGGAAAACTAAGAAAGATAACCAGGGCACAGATTTTAAGAAAGAGGAGAAGCAAAGCACTAAAACGAGAAATTAAACTTAAAAGATTACTAATCTTTCTGTAAGCTTTGAGAATTACCTGTATACTGTACTATTTAAAGATAAAGTGACCGATATTCAAGAAAATTGCTACAGGAATTGTTCTGCTGTAAACAACTAGAAAACTGGACAAAACGTATGAAACAAGTATTTGTAGACATTGGACAATGTAGGCAGCACATGTGATTCCTGAGAGAAGGGAAACAAACGAGAGAGCCCTAAGATTGACTCAGCTTTCTTCCTGCAGCAGTTTCCAGAATATTGATCTGTACGTGTTATGGGTAAAACTCCACAAGAGCAGGGAAAGAGTCACAGGAAAATGGTTACATCTTCTCTTCAAGAGATGCAAGCACCATGGTCTGATTCTCCCCTTCAGCTCTGTGTGTTCATATTCCCATCAGCCAGAAGATTTACATTTTAGTAGTGGGCGTAAATTAATACTAGAGTAATACTTGCTCTGAACTCCCAAGGTAATTCAGTGGGGAAAAGATAGTCTTTTCAACAAATGGTTCTGGAACAATTGGATATCCATATGCAAGGAAAAAAAAAAAGTTATTGACTCTTACCTTGCCCTTGTAGGAGAGGAAAAAATTCTCTATCCTCTTAGGTTCTCTGGCTGGGCCTAAGAATCAAACTGACATAGATTAACAGGAGAAGAGTACACAAATTTTATTAAATTTTTACATGTACATACATGGCTGTCTGTGCAAGAGAATGAAAACCTGAGGAATGACCAGAGCAGGAAGCTTGTATACCTTTTAGACAAAGAAACAGTAAATTTGTTAAGAATTGACAAGGCAAATAACTTTTGGCTAGGAGTAGTAAATGGTGAAGAAATAACTAGGAAGATAAGGGTTAATTTAAGAAGGTTCGTTTGTACAGATTTCTTGGCCCCAAATTCCCTATCTCTGGTGATGAGAATGGCTTCCTTCCTCCTGGCACAGGGAGGGTACCTTTCACATGGGGGTTGTATCTCCTGCTTTCAGGAGGAAAAGGAGGGTC